AAAAAAAAAAAAAAAAAAGAAGCACAAATGACACAGAAGTTGTGATTGAGTGGAGGGGACAACACTCTAGCCTAGCATGGCCACAGAGTTTCTAAGATGAGGTGGTACTAGAGCTGAGTCTTGAAGGGCAGAAATCACTGTACTTCATGGGGACAAGAAAGAAGCAGAGGGAACCATAGGTGCAAGTAACACTGAAAACAAGAGCTAACATGTACCTCGTGCTTACTCTGTCCTCAGTGCTGGGTGAGTACTTTATACACAGTAGCTTGTTGATGTCTCACACCCTTCCAGAGATAGGGAATGTTAGCATACAAGATGAAAAGCCCAACTCCCAGAGGTGTTAAATAACTTGTCTAAGGTAACCCAGTAAGGCAAGGCTGGGATTTGAATTCAAGTTTGACTAACTCCAAAGTCCACTAAATTATTTGCGCCCAGTACTGGTGGGATAACTTGCATGATGGAGAGAAATATATATGAAAGACCAAGGGATCCCTTGAATGCCACACCAAATGTCTGTCTGAATGGTATTCCACAAGGGGGTCCATTTGCCGAGGAGTGTTGCAGGAAGAATGGCCTAGCATGTTTATGGAGGATGATTGAGGGTCTTCTGGGAAAACAGGAACCCTGTGCCTTCAAAAGTTCTACAGGGGGTTAGGCAGCAGCAGGAAGAAAGTCAAGAAAAGAAACAAGCCAACAGAAGGCCAACCGATTATCAATGGTATTCACATTTATATTTAAGTAAATAAAGATCTTCAACAAGTCCCAGTCAGTCCATAAAACTTACATTAAGTGCCAAACTGTGTGCTAGGCCCAGGCCCCATCCCTGGCAGCTTCCCTCTCTGTCCCCTTTTCCCACCATGTGGTCAGGTTGCTGGCAGACTCCAACAACCCAGAACCTAAAGTGTTTTGTCCTTCCCCACCTCCACTTGCATAAGAGAGGTAAACAATGTTTCTTGCAGATTTATGTAAAAAAAAAAAATCATAAAATCTACAATTACTGCATTTCAACTTCAATGAGTTTTATATTTTAAAGGTATTTATTTTCATCTTACTGGTCTAGTTTGCAAGGTAAATAATAACTGATTTTTTTTTCTCTGAGCTCATTTTTAACCTCAAGAAGTTTTTGATGAGAAAATTTTCTCCAGTGGATAAATCATCTGGCCATCTTCCCCCTTACCTAGCAACCATAAGGCTATCAGTTCTTCAAGGGTATTATTTGAGCATCAGAAATGGGAACTGACATTCTAGTCACCCTACCCTTCACTATCACACAGGGTAGGGGTACGCAAAGACTGGAATTAAAGAGATCTCTAACTCAGTACATTTGTTGCAGCTGTGCCTCAGAAAGTCAACCGACTTCGGAGCTGTGTGCTGAGAGAAAAGGGGAACTCAGATTTTCACCGCTCTTCTGCTAAGAAATCCTATCCCAACAGGCATCACCCCTCCTTGCTGAGGGGGTAGGATTTATTGGCTAAATACTCCCAGACTTGCAGGGATACCCTTGCTCTCCCAAACACTCCCTTCAGGAGACACTACTTAGCCAGTGATTCAGAGTTGGGAGGCAATCCTTGCTCAGCTGGCTCAGCAATTCCCCAGGAAGACTCAGCCCGCAGCCCAACACAACAATCCCAAAGGCCCTGCTGTCCGTGTAGGGAGGGGAGGGGGAGCTTTTCTTCTTAGCTTCCGTAATTGTTGCCATACGATAGCCTCTGACTGCATCATAATAAAGAGGCTGGTATGGGAACACCTAGCACGCGCCAAGCACCGCGGAGAGACCTCTCCCTTCCAAACTACATGGCGAGCACAACTGGGGAAGAGGCAATCCTAGCAGAGCCCGCGCTGAGCCGCAACTAGAGCTAGATCACCTCCTGGTGTACCCTCCATCCACCCCCGGGTTCCCAAAGAGGCCTCTCAGGCCCTTCAAGACCCGGGCTTTCAGCTTCCGGGCCCAGACTTCAGAACCCTCAGGCTGAGGCCGGCCTCCAACCCGGCCTTCCAAGGCCCTTCAGTCTGGCCCCGCGGCTCACCCTCGAGCGTCTCGCACTGCACCAGGTTGAGGTAGTCTGCCTGGCTGAGCACCCCAGCCTTCAGGCCGCGCACCAGTCCCTCCAAATAGCCATTGTCCACGTTGAAGTAAAGCTCCGGGAAGAACGACATGGCTGCGGCGGGGACGGTGGGACAGTGGAACCCCAACCGGCCCGCACGCAAAGCGACTCTGCGATCAGCTGACGCTGCGCCCTTAGCCGACTGTCAAGAGCGTCAGGTGACGCACCAGCGCCTCACGTGACCGCAACAGGGCGGGGCCCTGAGCGGTGCCCCACTTCCGGGTGGTTTCGCTCGAAAGCGTTGCGCAGGTGTGGGTTGGAAATGGCCCTCTCGCGCCTGCGCACTGAAGGGAGGCGTGCCTCCTGAGCTCTGGCGCGGGCGCTGCTTGGCTGTTTGAGGCCCGCCTGGTGGTGGCGCCCGTAGCCTCAGGGATTCCATTGGCCCCTTTTTCTACATTTCCCGAGTTTAATGCACCTGGCGCTGCTGGGTCTGGTGAGATAAAGATGGGAGTGGGCGTTGCTTCTCCTACGTGGAGAGATTCCAGACTGCTGAATCGGCCCTCTGCCCCGGAGAGGAACTGAGGTGCGGCGAGGGGCGGACTTTGCTGAAGGTCACGCGTGGAAATAGCCGCAAGCAGGCCCTGAAGTTTAATGTTTATTCGCTAGCTCGGAGTTACAGCACCTTCCTGCCGCACTATCCGATCCCCACCCCTTCCCCGCATACCGAATTCTAAAGGGCTAAGTGCGGCTTTTCCTCAGCCAGGAGCCCTGAAAGCACATGTGCCTCTGATGGTGGGATAACCCAGGCTCTGGAGGAAGAGCATTTATGGTTTCTCAGTTTGGCAACACTCCTATCCTACCGTGAGACCCTCCCCCACTTCGACGGCAACATTCGAAATAACCACAGCCTTGGGATTGGTCCCATCCTTTATTCACATCCCCCTGCCCCGACCCCAACGTCGGCCAACTAGGTGCGGCTGCACGGGTTCATAGCTGTACCCAGCTTGCGGCAGTAGCAGAAGGCATTGAAGAAGCGGCAGTAGCACGTGGCGCACGGGTCGCAGCACGGTACCTGCTGTCCCAGGCAGGACTCGTTCAGCCTTACGCAACGACGCGGGGAGCGGGGCTCGCGGTCCTGTGGGTCTAGCACCTATAGGAATGGGGAAGCAGGAATGTGGACCCCGGCCTCTGGAGACAGGTCCAGGGATCTCAGCTGCACCAATCTGTGCAGAATGGCAATGGCGCTTAGGAGGTGTGGTCTGCAGTGTCACTGGTGCATGGTGAGGGGTTCTGGAGCTAAGGAGAGGGATAGTACTTGAAGTCCTTTCCCAAGCCCTGCCATCGTATCCCTTTCCCTAGGCAGTTACCTCTGCCAGGGCCTCAGCTTCCTGCAGCAGAGCCTCTTCTGCTTGTTCTGTAGTTGTCTTCTTCAGCTGGGTCTGCAGGCCCAGGCCTGGAGCAAAGGGTGTTAGGGCAGGACTCCCCCCAACCCACTCCCATCCCAACCATGCACAAAGCACCCACCTTACAGGTCTAGGATTGGGAAGGGAGAAGGAGGGCTTATACCAGGTGGAACAGTTTGCAGTAAGAGAGCATCCAGGCCCCATCCAGCCCTACCCCTGTCCACACTGACCTGGGAGCTCTGGAAACAGGGCCTGGTCAGTCCTTCTGATGCCCTCCATGGGGGCCAAGCCCATTTGGGCCCCCTGTATGGTGGGCAACGTCAGCAGCAGGGCACAGCTTAGCAGCACTGCATTCAGCATGGCCTGGCTCAGCAGGAAGACCCACCACTTAGTCCCTCTTTCATCCTTGGAGTATCCTCTAGGTGCCCAGCTAGAGCCCCCGACAGGGAGTATGATTCCCTCCCTAACCTGAGGACTTACCTCTGCTTGCTCAATCCTTGGCTAGAGCATTCCTGACCCCTTGTGCTCTCAGCTTATATGGCAGAGTCTAATGAAGGGCCCACACGTGACTGTTCCCTGTGCAGGGGGCCCTCCTTGGAGGGTGGGGACTCAATTTAGGCCTCACTCCCTGGAACCTGAGCTTTTGTTGCTCTGCAAGAGGTATGCCCATCTCCAATTTGAAGTGAGGACTCTAGGAGCCAATTAAAGTTTGGGAACAAGATAAGGTGCCCAGGACCCCCAAATTTCCACAGGACACAGACCTAGGGGGTATGCCAATGTAGAGCCATTAGTAATAACACAGGTGGCCCTGGAAGCTTAATCTAATTTGTGGCCCCGGAGATTCTTACTCAGCCCCTATGTGGCTTGTTGTTTCCTTTGCTTCTGGGAACTTGGATCAAGGGCATTAAAGAGGGTGATGGGCCATTGTGGGGCAGGGGTAGGGATACAGAACCAGACCCTTGGTTTCTTTGTGGGGAAAGAAGAGAGGGAGAAGCCCACCTAACCAATAGCAATCCCTCCTGACTGCATTTCTGGTCCTCCTTCCCCTCCCCTCTCCCTTCAGGCTTCTCTAAGACTCCCCACCCCTGCTCTTGTCCCCAGACCATTTTCCACCTAGGGTTCCTGGAAGCCAAGGAAGCAGAACGGACTGTTCCCTGGGTGGGTGAGCCATTTCAGAGTAAAAAGCTTTCAGGCTGCCTGCCTCATTAGTGCTAATGTCTGCTCCCTTCCGCCTGCGTTGTCAGGCCTCTGTGCCTGCCTGGTCTCATCAACACATGACTAGAGTGAGAACTGCCCTTTTGAGGAGATGGCAGGACACACAGGACCCCACCTGCCTCTCCTTCCCTCACCCCTCTGGGAGGCTTTTTATAAAAGAGACCTGGTCTTTCAAAGTTGCCCAAGCTGGTTTCAAACTCCCAAGTTCAAGTGAGCCACAGACTCTGAGTAGTTGGCTAAGGGTTATAGTCCTGGAAGGTAAGAGAGCCATTTCCTACTGCCCAGGGAGGAGGGATCGGGAAATCAGGAGAGCCTCTCTGAAGAGGTAGTCCCTGAACTGGACCCTTAGGTCAACCAGCAAAGGACCAGCCCCTTTTCCTGAGAGTGGTGTTGGCTGTTTTGGTGTCTTTGTCATAGCCTAGACTTGGAACACTATGGAATACTAATGGAATACTATTCAACCATTAAAAAATATGGAGACTTTACATCCTTTGTATTAACCTGGATGGAAGTGGAACACATTATTCTTAGTAAAGCATCACAAGAATGGAGAAGCATGAATCCTATGTACTCAATTTTGATATGAGGACAATTAATGACCTAGTACATGGTGGGGGAGTGGGGGAAGGAGAGAGCAGAGAGACAGAGAAGGAGGGAGGGGTGGGGGAAAGGAACAGCAGAGAAAGGGAAGGTGGGAGAAGGTGGGAAAAGGAAGAGCAGGGGGTTGGGGGGTCTCAGTGTGTGACACACCTTTTGAGGGCAAGACACAAGTATAAGAGGGACTTTACCTAACAAATGAAATCAGTATAACCTGGTTTCTTGTACCCTCAATGAATCTCTAACAATAAAAAAAAAAAAATTAAAGAAAATAGAAAGGGCCCATAGTTCATTAGGTAGGGCGCTGATCACATACACTGAGGCTGGCAGGTTCAAATCTGGCTGGGCCAGCTAAAAACAACAATGTCAACTGCAACAACAAAAATAACTGGGTGTTATGGCAGGCACCTATAGTCACAGGTCTTTGGGAGGCTGAGTCAAGAGAATTGCTTAAGCCCAAGAGTTTTAGGTTGCTGTGACCTGTGATGCCACGGCACTCTACCCAGGCCGACAGCTTGAGACTATCTCAAAATAAATAAATAAATAGGAAAAAATAGAAAAACTAGCTGGGTGTTGTGGCGGGTGCCTGTAGTCCCAGAAACTGAGAAGGTTGAGGCAAGAGGATCACTTAAGCCCAAGGGTTTGAGACTGCTGTGAGCTATGATGCCATAGCACTCTACCCAGGGCAACAGAGCGAGACTGTGTCTCAAGAAAAAAAATGACTTGGCACCTGTAGCTCAGTGAGTAGGGCGCCGGCCACATACACCGAGGCTGAAGTTTGAGCCCGGGCCCAGGCCTACTAAACAACAATGACAGCTGCAACCAAAA